ATACCATTGCTGCTGCACATTCGCATTCTTTTGCTCCTAAAAGGAAAATTATTTGTTTCAAACAAATTATATTCGTGAACTATAAACTTTCTGCTTGTTAAAAAATGAACAGCGACATTTATGAGGCAATGAAAATGGGAAAAGAATCGGCTTACCTTCGACGAACTGCCATTTTTTGCTTCTTCCACAGAAAGTGATATTGAAAATTAAATTGAAAAAAATAATTCGGAATTAGAAAAAAAAGGTGTCTGTCTGACCAGCAGATGTAAACAGTGACTTTTCAACAGTAGGAAAAAATTCATTTGAAAGAAATATGATTTTAATTCCGCCCTTTAGTGGCGTTTTCTTTACATCTGTTTTCCATGTCCATTCGCTCACATTCAGCATTAACAGGTTGACATTGAAACTGTTTCTAACCTATTGAATGAACATTTCTGCTCAGAGAACAATCAAAAGTAAATCCATCAAATCATAAATTTAATTATTTGTGCTCTATTCAAATTTTGTTCTTTAATTTTCTTAGATGTGTACTCAAAAAAAAAAAAAAAAAAAAAAAAAAAAAAACCGGAAAGCAACTTTTTTTCAAGCCAGTCCATGGGAAGCTTCTGACCAACTGTCATTTTAGTCCTGATGGATAATTTATTTCATTTCATGAACCTGAAATAAAAGTTAAGTCCTCCAACAAAGTTTGCAATGCTTATTTTTTGAGTAATTACTTTTGCTTGAGTAATTACTCTTTTCTCTTTGCTCTGTTGTCCATTTCTGTAAATTGCCTTCCGAAATAGGCCAGGCTTTGATGCTGGTCTGACAAGATTTTTTAAACTTAGGCATTTTTCTAATTCTTCTTTTTTGGTTTTCCGCCACCAAATACGTCTCTTGTCAACTTGAAACTCTCTAGTTGCAGCTCAGTTTACAATCTCTTGTCAACTTGAAATTCTCTAGTCGCAGCTCAGTGTCCCATTTCTATTGCTTTCTTCACTACCAAAAAAGGTTGTTGTCAAAAAAGGCAGATAAAACTACAGATTTCAACAGAAAGAACATAAATTATGGTGTTTTTACACCATGCGCACCCTAACGTAGTTAGGTGAGTTTCACGTGAGTTCAAACTTAGATTAAAACTTTTAAAAATTAAAGCATCACTATCATAAACAAGGGGAGGGGACGTTGAAAATCAAATAATTTTCAATTTACATGGACAGAATCCAAAAGATGTAAAACAGAAGCATTCTAACATATGAAAATATACTAAATGAAGATTTGATCAAAACAATATATAGAATAAAAGTAAAAAGAGTAATTAGTTCTTAATATGTGTAACATTACAGTAGCAAAAGTTACAGAAGTTAAAAATTTCTACTTTTAGATTTTAGATTATTTTTGATATATATAAAACTTATTTTGATGTGTGTATGTAAAATATAAAATATCTATCTTTCAAATAATAAATTAGTAATTGCCCTTTAACTCCTGCCTTCATTCTAGAAATAACAGAGCAATAATTTTTTAAACTCTGCAATTGTGAAACGCACTTATCGATGAAATCTGAACCCAACATTTGAACATTAAACTGTCATGTGATCTGAAATGGAATTCGGTATAAAAAGGTAATTGTATCGCAACTCCCCCCTCTTTCACTGTTCTCTTCTGCTTCATTTCACTGTGTCGCTTCGCCGCTAGCCATGCAGTGATTTTTTTCCAATTTCGTCCATTGTTTAAGAAAGCTAGTGATGATGTGCATTATCATGGAATAAAATTGTCTCCAAATCGCCACGTCTGGAAGTTTTTTGGTTTATGCATCCGTGTTTCTAAATATGCAGTAAAACCTCACCAACACCAATCTATTGCAACTTACTTTCCACCAAGTCATCTTATTACATATATATATTATATCATAAGAATAAATTGAATTTAATTAAAAAATTAAATTTAAATACATATTTAATTAAATATTCTACACAAATTTGTAACCTATTTCTTTTTACATTTGAATATAAATCCCAACTCAGTTTAAATAAAAATGAATTAAAGCTATTTGCTCATACTTTTAGATACATAGATGATATTATAACTTTCAATAATAATTCTACTTTTGAGCAATTCAAAATTTACCCAAATAGTTTAACACTTAATAAAACGAATACGAATCAAGATACTATTGAATTCCTAGACCTGCAAATTATTAAACACAGCAAAATTAAATTATTTGATAAAAGAAGGAATTTCCATTTTCTTACTATTAAACTAATTAATTGGAACTCTAATATCTCTAGAAAAGTAATAGAAAACACGTTTCATAGCCAAATTATCAGAATAAAAAATATATGTACTGAAAATGACGATTTAAAGGAAGAAATTATAAAACTAATTAATGTACAAGTTGATAACCAAGTACCACCAAAATTTATTAATTTATATACTAAAAAGGCAGGCCTTAACTTTACTTTATAATTTTTTAGCTCTTTTGGATATGATAACATTACCTTAAACCTTAGCTGGAGGGTAATGAAGGATATAAAAGAGTAGAGAAATTATTGTAAATTTTTATTGTAAATATTTTGTAAATATGTATATTTAATCAATACTGGATTCTTTCCTTTTACTAATAAAGGGCCAACTCTTTTCAAAAGTCTGAATTATAGCCCGAATTGAGTGAAGATTTTAATCTTCTTCTTCTAATTTTCCATACTTTAGCCAGTATTTAGTTAAGTTTTGATATACCAATTAAAATCAAGTTCATTAAACTTTTAATATTTTCTTTCATCAAATTTAAGTTTTATTTAACTTCCTAAAGGAATTTTTGAGAAATTTCTGGGAATTTTTAAAGGTTTTTTAAGGACTTCATTTCAAAAAAATTTGGGGAAATTTTACTTTAAAACTTTAATATTAAAACATTTCAGTTTTTCTTAATTACTTTAATTTTTTGCAATTTTCACACAAAATATCTTTCACTTAATTTTTTTAACAATTTTCACAATTTTTCAACAGAACACACATTTCAAATTACAAACAGTTTACATTTTTTTCACATACCACTTCACTTTAATTTCCTTCAAGCAAACTTACATCTCTTGATTGGCTCAGTTACTTAACTCCCTAAATAATTGATATTACTACCTTTAGGATTTTTAATTTAATTTTTAATATTAATGTTTACAAAAATTTTTTTACTATAACAAAGATAGCAGCTTGACACTCAACTTTACCTACATAAGCGCCATCTATATAATTTGAAGAACACACTTACTTCTCTTTCACAACACTTTTGCAGACCCCCAACACTCATATAGTAGGTAAGTTAGAATTAAAACTTACTATTTATTTGCCTTAAGTATTTTTTTTTTAAATTTTTATGTAGTATCTAAGTATTTTTCTAAATATGAAATTATATTTTTAAATATATATTTGTTTTTTTTTTAAAAATAGTGAATTAGTTCTTTTTGTTTCTTATTGATTTATATGGGTTATGTATAGTTCTTTTATAGTTTCTTTTTATTGATATGCATATTTGTATAGGGGAAGTTTCTGTAGACACGGATTTCTAAAATACATTGGTTTTCTAAATTTTTTATAAAAATTAATTTTTTTTAAAAAAATTAATTTTTTAATTTAATTTAATTAATTTTTAAAAAAATTAAATTTTTTAAAAAAAAGTTTAATTCTTGACTTTACTTGCTTGTTACTCAAAAGACTTCATTAGTATTTTCCTTTTTGAACTTTAATTCTTAAATGTTAATTTCTAAGGGTACCACTTTATTGGAATTACTTTTGGTTTTGACTTTTACCCTTGCCTGCATGAATGACGAAACACGAATTGAATGATTGGAGAATTAGGTTTGGAGGCAACTTCCCCTTGATAAGTCTGTCTCCAGCCTACTCTACGGTCATTCACATATGCATTTAAAAAAAAAAAAAAAAAAAAAATGTTTAATTTAATTTTAATTTATTAAATTAGTAGATTTATTTTCATGGATAGATTTTGCACTTGATTTGCTTATGCTTCTGACTTTAAATGATATTGTAGATTAATTCGAGAATTAAATCTTTTACATGTTTCCACATTTTTTAAAATTATTTTAAATTATTTTGGCCTTTTTTAGAATTTAAATTTGCTTTTTTACTTTTATACGTATTTGTTAAGAATTTAAATTTGTTTAAATTTATATATTATATCACCATATTTAATGTTACAATAGAAGTTTTTTTTTTTTTATTTTTTTTTTAATATTAATCATTTTAGTCCATAGCTGATGGAAGTTCATTATTTAGCATATTTTAGGCTTAGCAATTATTAAACAGAATGAATCTATATTTTCATTTCGAAACTTTTGATGTTTTAATGTTACAGATATTAAAAACGAACTCTTTTTAGTTTTAGATCAAATTTTCATTTATTATTTTTTCCTATATGGGATTGTTTTACACGTTTTTTGGACTTGGTCCACTGAAATTAAAAAAAATATTTAAGTTTTTTTTGCTTGTTTATGATTTTAAAAAATTTTTAACTCGGCCTGCATGGTTTCTAAATTTATGTATGTTTTTAATTTTCCTTGTATTTATTTGTTCTTATTTGCACTTTTTAGACTCGGTTTGCTCAAAGTAATATTTTTATTTTTTTAAAATTTGTTTGTATTTTTGATACTGCTGTGGATTTTAGCTGGTAGGGGCTGGATTAATAAAGATGCATGTTACTTTGATTGTTTTTCTTAGATTATTTTAAACTTTAATTTGTGTCTTTATTGGCTCAGAAACAAGCTGATTTATTGAAATAGAAATAGGTCTTGTTTACTAATTTTTTACAATGGTATATTGCTTTTGCAAAAGTAATTATTTAATTTTTAACAACTCTCTATTACAGTTTCACTGTCTTTTAAATTTAATCTTTTCATCGTATTTTATAAAGTTGCCACTAATTATTGCAGCTTGTTGAACATAATTGAGTTTTGGTTTTGAATTTTTTCCATTGTATTTGTAGTGGTTTTAAAAGAATGCTTTTATTTCAGAATTTTCTCCAAAACCTTAAGATACTGAAATATATGGAAGATCAGATTGCTTTTCACAAGGGTAAAAGCAGTTTTTCAAAGAGCATTATTATACACAAATCAGTAAGTTTATTTTTAATATGTGATTTTGCTTACATTCATCATTACTAAAATCTTGTAACAGAGACCTGTTTTCCTTGCAATGTATTTAAGTATTATATTTTTTGAATCTGTATACCATACCTGGATATTCAAATATGGCATATGTATAAAAGACTGATATATAAAGATTTTCGTTGTAATGAATTCTCATTATACATTTTTATTCTTGTCTTGATTTGTACAAAATAGAATATGAAGAATCCAATTTTGTTGCTATTATGTATACTTTAAGAATTTTTTCAATTCTATTGACTTCAATGCATTTAGCATGGTGATTCATTAAGCAGTCCAGAAAGAAAAATATTTTGAAGTTTCCTTAAAATCTTCATCATTAATCCATGAACAATGCAAATGCTACTTTGTGTTTTAAACAAAAATAAATCACATGAAGTCAAGTCTGGTGAATATGTTGTAGAAGATAGAAGCTGAATAGCAGTGTGGAAAATCTTGGCTTTGTATATTGGAGCATTGTTGTGCAAGAATAACACATTTGTACTTAGTTTACCACAGTGTTTCACTCTTATGGTTTGTAATAGTTCAATGAGTTAGCATAATAAACACTTGTTATTGTGATATATAATTAATAAACAGTGTATCTTCCCTTCTCACCCCCCCCAAATGCACTTGCAATTCTCCCAGCAGATTTCTGGATTTTGACCTTGTGAAGATTCATTCTGTTTCTATGCAGTCCTGTTTTGTTTCATTTCTGGGTCATAATGATGAAGCCATATTTCATCTCCTGTCATTGGCATGATAAAAAATTTTTTATTTTCATTTATGTTAGCAATTCTCAAAAGATTTTGAACCAATGTTACTTCATTTCTGGCAGTAATACTCTGGACATCCATCTAGCACAGATCTTTGATACCTCCAGCTTTTCAATCAGGATTTTTTTTGGGGGGGGGGTAATCCAGCATTTATGCCCATTTCCATAACAAGCCTCCTTCGTAGCGTTAAGTCTGTGGGCAGGGACGAGATACTGGCCGGCGGTTGAGAAATGGCTACTGCTGCTGGTCGGGACTTGTCTGTGAGCAGTTTCATGCAAACTTGTTGCAAAGTTCTCTCGTGATAGAGGAGTGTGTTATCCTCTTGCAGACTGGTGTGTTAGTTTGCTTGCTCCTAGAGCCCCCCTCAGCTTCTTAAGGTGAAGTTGACAATTGAAAACTTCCACTGCACATCTGTGACCAGCTCGGCTCCCATGCCGTTGCTAGGGGTCCAGACACGTAATAAAAAATCTGTAACTTGCCTATTTTCCATTACATATTTCTTGACTTGAAGTAGAAATTTTTTCAGATTACATCTGCATTGCAGCCTTATCTAAGATAATTTTTAGTTTCTCTCTACCATAAAACTATTGTTACAAATTTTGTATAATGTAGCATGAAAAGTTTTAAGAGAGTGAAGCTGTGCTGGAAAAATGAGGTTACAGGGGTTAACATTGAGATAAATGGTAATCTCACTAAATAGCCGAACTGACCGTGGTTTTGGTGACATTTTAGTCTGGTTCTTATATACTGCAATTGATCCCTATATGTAACTGTATCCGACCATTATATGTAACTTTAACCGTACATGTCTTCCAGTGATTTCCAGAAATGGAAGGAACCAGAGTTTTCTTGTCGGCTGGAGTATAACTATAGAGTCCGGAGAGAGCATTGGCTCAAAGTTGTTAATTAACTTTGGAGTGTTGGGAGATCTCCATGCAAGCTTTGGTCTTTGGATATGCTATGCATTGCATCGTGTTTAATGCTCTCAATAGTTTAAAGTGGTAACTACTCATTATGCTGTGTTATACTGAAAAGGGCTGTACGAGTATTTTATTAGGAAGTTTCAGATCTGTAAAATGTTCCTTTTGGGAAAATAAATTTTATCATGCTGTCATTGGTTCTGTGTGCATTTAGTCCATTAAGCTGCATTCAGCCATGGGTGTAAAGCGCATAGAGGCATAGTCATAAGGACATAAAGTATGGGACATCCGTTCACACCTGCGAGATGGCGGGTCTAAGCTGTGGGCAAATGAGAGAAACTAAATTTGTGCATGCATGTATGTGTCTACACCTTTCGCGTGCTGTTTTCTAGCTCAATTGATTTCTCGTGCTCGCTCCTGCTTGTTTTCGTTATTTTATGTCATGGCTTTTTCAGCTCACCACAAAGTTTTACTGGTTCAACAGAATGCTCTTTTATCTGCCCTTCTTATAAGCCAAGAGGCAACGGAAGAAGGTAAAAAAGAAAAAGAACGAAATGGTGTAGAGATATTTTTTTGAAAGACCAATACTTGGTTGGCACATATATTTCTGTGCAAAGCAGTATGGAATATTTCTGTATTGTACTGTATGCATATTTATATATATAAAACCTTCTTCAATTTTTATATATAATTTCTCTTAGGAGAAATACGATATTCTAAATATGCCTAATTTAAAAAAAATCTTGAGGATAACTAACAGATAGCCTGTATATAATATTATTCCATTTTGTAGGTGTGAAAGCAGTTAAGCTAAAAACAGTACTTACCATACATTATTATTATTTTTTTTTTAATTTTCAATCAAAAGGAACATGTTTCTGTGACAGTGAAACGTGTTCTTAGCACTCCTTATTCACTGTCCCCGTCGATCACTATAGTAGTTGGCTGCACTACCAGTATCATTTATCACTAGTACTAGTATCCCACAACTGATCACAATGACCAGCAACCGCAGCTAGTACAATACTAGGAAACGTTCACCCAACAATGTATTTTATGCTCAATCATTAAATACATTTTGCTGTGTTGCCAGCTGTTTGTATACATCTATTTCTAATAATTTGCATGTATAAGCCGCACCCCTGAATTTAATTTCAACATATGCTGTCATTTCTATTTATGACCAAATCTCAAAAGTAATTTCACATTGACAAATTTACCCAAGTCTTAGTTTAGTACCCAAGTCTAAGTTTAGGTACCCAATTTTTCAAATACAACAAAATTATAAACATTCATACCTTATCCAGGAATTTCTAGCAGAGAAATAGCATGAATTTAATGATCAAAATTCCATTCAAATGATAGTAATAAAAAGTGGATAATAATAACAAATACTATTAATTAAATTATAGTCCATGTTTATGTGTGCTATTCAGTTTCATTAAAAGTAAATTCCTTTCATGGAGAACGTAATTAAAAAACAGAACAGAACTTCAACAGGAGACAAAACTGTCTAGACTGTTTGTTGACTGTTGTTTTAAGGATATTTCACTACATTTTTTCCTTCTTGGAATTCATAAGAGCATTTTCTCAAAAGAGTTAATTTTTTATTACTTATACAAAGCTTACACCATTGAATTGACTATTGTGACTATTCTTAAATAAGTGAAAATATTTTTTTCTTTTTTTTTTAAAGTAATATTTTTACTGTTAAAAAAAAACAGCAGATTCTTGATATTGATTTTTTATTTTAGTAAAATTAATTCATGAAGTTTGTTTGGAAAGAAAATCAGCATTTGAAGCAAATAGCAATACAATATTTTCAGCTTTTTCAATAAATTTATTCTTAAATACAAAAACAATTAAACAGGAAAAAAAATGATAGTAATAATTTAAAAAAAAAATTATAAACAGAAAGAAAGTAATAATAATAATTTACACAGAAAAAATAAAATTTTTGCAAGCATGCATTTTTTAAAAGAATTTTCATAATAAAATGAAAAATATTGGATGGGATCAATCATCTACAGCAGGGATGTCAAACTCATAGGTACACTGGGCCAAACAAACAAGGTTTAACTTTAGGCGGGCCACAAAAAAAAAAAAAAAAAAAAAAAAAAAAATCAATATTTATAGAAACGTAGATTTATTTCGAATAATACAATAATAAATATGTATATATTTATATAGAAAAGAACAAGAAAAATTTAATGTTTACGTCCTGATACTTGACATCTCTTCTGTGCTATTATCTTTCCTATTTCGGGAGAAATTTTGTTTGCAGTGATAACTTTCAACGCTGACCCAAGGTGAGCATCATTAATATGGTTTCTAATAGGAGACTTATTACCTTTCATGACTGAAAATAACTGCTCGCACCGATAAGTGCTACCAAACATGGAAATAATTTCATATGCGAATTTTCGAGTATTTTCAAACCTGGCTGGAAAATATTTGTAAAATTCAGGCATGCCCACTTCAATGAATTCTGCTTTCAAATTTGAGTTGCATTGAATCTCGATCACCTCCATTTGCATATGGCTGGGTACTGAGTCAATACTTATTAAGAAAATCAAAAAAAAAAAAAAAAAAAAATTGTCTTCGAGGGAACTAAAATCATTAAACCTCGTTTCAAATTCAGTTGTTAAATTTGCAATTTTTTCTGCGTATTTTTGATACGAACAAGTATCATCTAAACTTGATTTGTTCATGCTGCACGTCGGGATGTGCGTCAAATCTTCATTTTTAAGTTGTTTTTCCCAAAGAACTTGTTGACATTTGAATGCTTTAATTATGTCAAACATGTTCGTAATGATATGATCTTTTCCTTGTAACAATAAATTTAAATCGGTTAAGTGTTTGGTTATATTAACCAAGAAAGATAAATCTTATATCCATATTGGATCGTAAAACAAACTTACGTCTTGATTTTTCGTTTTTAAAAACTGACATATTTCTTCTTTCAAATCCCAGAATTGTTTGAGAATCTTGGAGCAAGATAACCAACGTACCTCAGTATAGTAGGACAAACCCGAATATTCACTATCTAACTCACTTAAGAAAGCAGTGAATTGACGCTGATTTAAACCTCGAGATCTTATAAAATTTATAACTTTTTTTATATATGACAAAACATTCTCCATATTTATTACTTTTGTGCATAGAACTTTTTGATGTATAATACAATGCATATGATGAATGTATGAACTGTGAATTTCACCAAGTTTTTTTCTTAGTAATGTTGCGAAGCCCTTGTTTTCCCCGGTCATTGATG